ATTATAAAACAGTAATTAATGAATTTACATCTAAAAAAGCTAGAAAAGTATATTTTAAATAAAAGTATATAGGATGATTTTTTAAAATTTTTTTAGGGCCCCTTTCTATGATTTGGCTTTAGGCCCCCAATGTTGTTGAGTCGGCCCTGCCTCTAAACAATACTAAAATAGGAGGGGGGGAGGGGAAGGAAAAATAAGACAAATCTGAAACAATTAAAGAAAACACGTATACATTTAAGAAAAATCTAAAAAATATTATTGGATGTAATGGAGAAGACAATTTTTGGTGGGGCGGGTGTGTGTGGGGTGGGGGCGTTAAATTGAACTTTTATTTTTATTTATTTATTAAATAGATTTGAAATTTTTATTTATTTGTTTAAAATGACATATATAATCATGTAATTGATTGTTTGTCACGTTATCAACGAGTGTATTATATTCTTCTTCAGTTTATTGTTATTGTCAAAAAAATATCAAAATAAAATAGCCAAGTTCGACGTGAGGTGTTTAAAATAAATAAATCCTAATTAAGGTGTCTAAGTGAAAGTTGATGCCAACTTTAGTAATCATCGATGACTTTCGCCTAAGTGAAATAATTCTTTTATAACTTTGATGCAAAATGTAATATTATCTTTTTATAATTGTTGTTTTAATATTACAAGCATAAAGAACAAATATATATATATATATATATATATATATATATATATATTATGTATATATATTATGTATATGCATATTTAAATTTACTTATTTTCTAGACATAATATAAATATTCTTTTTAACTTGATCTCACTTAACGCCTACAAAAATCTTAACTTTACAAACGCTATGAGGCCTAACACACTAACCTGCTTCAATTTTTCTTTAAATAACATTACAATTATATATTTAAAAAATAACATAAAAAAATACTATACAGTCACACAAGTAACTATTCAAAATATTAAATAAAAAGTTGATTACTGTTGTAAAATAACTAGTTAACAAACTAATATTAATAAACTAAAATAATAAGAAGAACAAACAAAGGGAGAGCATAATATATTCCAAACTTTTCTTATATCTTCCTTTGTGAATGAAAGTAATGGTTATTTATAATATAACCAATGATAAATATACAAACCAACACTTGGCCATTGAGAAGTTATCCACTTGGCCAAGTGATGACGCCTCTTAAATGGGTGCCCCACATGGCATTCATTTATTATGTCAAGTGATGACAATTAAAGGGGTGAACCACATGGCATCCATTTAGTTTTACAACAATTACGATAATTTTATTAATTTGGCTGGCTGTGCAGCCCTTATTTTGTCACTACTAGGCTTTAGTGTCTATTTGGATTGACTTATTTTAGATATTTTTAAAATTAAAATAGCTTTTAAGCAATTTTAAAAAAGTTAAAAAGTGTTTATAAACACTTATTTTAAAGTTAAAATAACAAAAATAAGCCAAAAGTCATAAGTTAGAATTTCTAACTTATGACTTTTGACTTATAAGTCATAAGTCAAAACCCAATTCAAACAGACCCTTAGTTCTTTTTTCTTTTTATCTTTTTCTTTCCTTGGACAGACACTCTCAAAGTCAATAACATTATTGGTGTGTAGGGTTTCATTGCACTCCTTTTTCTCTAATTTTTTGTTTAAATTTCATGAACATAATTCATTTAGCCTTTTTACATTTTAAAAAAATAAATTCAAATCAAACCACAAACACCACTATAGAAATTATGAGTATTTAATCGAATTAATCAGAGATCATGAGTATTTAATGAAATTAATCAAAACTCTAATATCGAATATTGTGAAAGAAAGAAAAGAAGAGGTTGAATATTGTATATAATAACAAACTATTAATTCAAATTAAATGCTATAAATATAGTTTGATTTAATTGTATCTCATAGCAAACTGTTGCTATTTCACCTCTCTCCTGGTGAATCTCGCTCTGTCCCTCGCCTCTCTCGTTTTTTATACAAACGCAAGTGTATAAAGTGCATTTGTGTTTATATAAAGCGAGAGAAAATTGTATATATACATATATTTTCGTTCCCCTCTCTCCCTTCTTCCAGATCTTGCTCGCCACTCTCCCAGATCTCGCTCGCCACTCTCTCAGATCTCGCTCTCTCACTCGCCTCCCTCACTTTATATAAAAACCCAAATGTATAAAATGCGTGAAAATTGTATATATACATATATTTTCGTTCCCCACTCTCCCCTCTCCCAGATCTCGTTCGCCACTCTCCCAGATCTCGCTCCTCACTCGCCTCTCTCACTTTATACAATTGATCTTTTTGTATATGTATACTAAAGCAGATTATACAACTGTTTTCTTTTGTATATGTATAGCGAAATATACATATTTATGTTTGCTATGGAGCGCAATTATGCAAACTTTGCTATAACATACAAATATGAATTTTGTGTTTGCTATATGTGAAAGTTGCTCTTTTTATTTTACATAGCTCCACTTTTAATTTATTTTGAATTATATTTATCACAAAAATAAGTTATAGTTTCATGAATTTTATTATATTTATATAAAATTAATTAACTATTTTAGTATAATTTTTTTTTCATTTTAATAAAATAAAATCGAATACTTATTCGACAAATTATCTCTTAATTTTGATTTTTCTTTTATAAGTTCGACACTATAATTCCTATTTAAAGGGAAAAAATATTTCTAAATTTTTTTCTGTTTACAACACAAAACATTTCTGCCTAAAACTAAAGCGATTTCTGCATTGGTGGATCGAGGGTTAAGTATTGAAACCATCTGAATTCGATATTTTTGATCTAATTTTATAATTTTAATATAAATTAGATTAAAATTATATAAATAATGTATCAAAACTCATATTTACAATCATAATAAATTTAAATTCTAAATTCGACTCGTGGTTGTTTTCAAATGCTTGGGGCCCACACAGTGGAACAATGTTTGCTCTACATCATTCCATCTATAAATATATACCTTTGCTTACCATTTTCCTCAATTGTTTCACAAAGTTTTCTTCTCTCTTTATTTATGGTATATTGGTATGTGTTTTTTACACTGAAATCCAAGCTAACATATATTTCCCTTCTCTTCGATTCTAGCTCGAGGTAAGATATACGTATATTTTATATATATTTTTATCAGGTTCTCAATATTAACAAAGTATTCGTCAATTTTTGAGTTTATTTCCCTTTTTTCTATTTTCTTTCAAATTCTATTTTTATTCCCAATATCTTTCCCTTTTTGGAACTTCTTTTGTTTAATTTTGGCAAGGGAAACACCGATATACTTAGTTACTAGTTCGACAAAATTCAGTAAATTTAGCTTAAACTCTATTTTTGTGTTATATATTTATTTAATAGGTATTTGTTTATCATCTATTCTATTTCAATTTTAGGTGACACTCTTTTGAGAATATCATTTTTCCATAAATTTGTTGAATATTTATAATTAAAAAGTTGTGATTTTGGATTTTGTAGGAGTAATTTATATGTAGTTTTTATTTCTTTAATTTTTTGTTTAAAATTAAAGTAAAACAAAATCATTTAAAATTAAATTTAGAAGGTTGGACTCTCTCTTACAAATAAAAAAAGATGAAAGAAGCTAGTATAAGTATATATTATTTATTTATTCTTGAATTTTAAATAGTTATGTAACTTTGTACTGTACCCATAGATTATCACTAGTTGATAATAACTTTATCTATTATTAGTTTGAATCAAGTATACCATGATTAATTTGAGTTGTGATGCAATAATAGAGATTTTTTTGGTTTTTAATTTGAGATGTCGGATATGAATTTTTGATATGAACTTTTTTAATTTGTTGAGAGTGTTACCTTAAAAAATAAGCTTTATAATATACAAATTCAAATTTAATCAGAATCTAATACGGATAGGGAATATCCAAAAAGAAGTACTATTACAATGTGTGGCCATTAATTTACTTTTGTTTGGGTTCACTGAAAATCATAAATTTTATGTGTCTTTTCTATATCTTGTTCTGTCTATTTGTTCACAGTTGTCTGAGTTCCAATGACATATTTGATAGTACTCCTATTAAAAATTTAATCCACTTTAGACAAAAATAAATTTTATTTTATTAAAATTAATGTGCTCTTATTTCTTTGCCTTTTTGTCAAGATGTTAGTAATTGCTAAGTGGCCCTGTGACAAAGATGTGAAGCTTTTAAGAGTTAGATTCAAAGTACTGCTTTTATAATTTGACGTTGTTTCTTTTTTCTATCCAATATTCATATATGGGACCCTTTTTTTTTTCTACTTTTGTCCTTTATTTTATGAGTAGTATTAAATTAATCTCCCATAATAATTAGTCATAATCAAGTAGTTTATTTTATTTTTGTAGGGAAAATGACACCAAAATACTACTACTAAACTATTGGAAAAAAGTAGTTATGTTTGGGTGTATCATGTAAAATGTTAATATTTGACTGATTAAAAACTTTGAAAAATGATTTTTCTAGTGAAAATAGAAAAAATAAGTTTCACAAATGACATTTAATACAATTCATCTTTATAACCCTCCTCCCCCAACACCTTCCATCCTATTTTTCATAATATTTGTATAGTATTTTTGCCTTCCTTATCGAATACTAAAAAAATAAGTAAAAAAAAAACTTAATTTTTTAAGAATACATTTTCACGAAAAAAATATGCTTCTTTATACTAAACACACCTATTATCCTTTTGCCTTAAGACTAAAAAGATGCCCTTATTTTATTAGCTAAGTGAAGTAGATATGTCAAACAATAAATAAAGAACATAATTGCGCTATTTCCAATAGTTCAAAAGACATATATTCTCCATATCACTAATGATAAAGAATAATGTTATGTATGAAACATAAATTGCTCTATTTTTAATAGTTTAAAAGTATTTTTAATCTTTTCCCTTTTATTTAAATTGCGAAATCATATTATTTAAGTAACTCATAAACTTTTGTTTTATATTTGAAAATTTATCAAATAATTATTCGTGAACAGAGTAACTTCAAATCTTGATTCTGTCAGTACACGAAGAAGATAAATGAAGATGGTGGAGGAAAGTGAGAATAAGTTTGATCCACAACAAGTGATCGATGAATTTGAGCTATTAAGCAAAGATGCTGGGAGAATTCAAGAAGAGACCTTACAAAAGATTCTTGAAGAAAATGGAAGGACAGAATATTTGCAACAATGGGGTCTTAATGGGAAAACAGATCAAGTTTCTTTCAAGAATTGTGTTCCTCTTGTTACACATAAGGATTTGGAGCCTTACATTCATAGAATTGTTGATGGTGATCTTACTCCTATTCTTACTCGAAAGTCTATTACCACTATCTCGTTGAGGTAATGTTTTACAACTCGCGTATAATTATATTGTTGTATGTATTTTGTATGTTATTTTATATACAATAATATATTGTATGTGCAAATAACATACACTTGAAATTGAGTTTCAATATAAAATTCTAACAAAAACTAACTCAAATCTTTCATCAAACTCCCTCGAAATTGACGTATAAACTACAAATGAGCATATTCTAAAATCGTTTGTAGTAAACATTCTATCCAAATAAATAACAACTTTGCAAAAGTTAATTTTCGAAATTTTGACTTGAATTCAATTGATAACTAAACATTTCAATTTAAGTTTATTGTTTGCATCAAAGAGTGCCTTTTAGACATCTAGAATTAAAAAATACAGTAGTAATTACTCATGCATCCTAAATTAGTTGTCATGTTTTTCTTTTTGGAAGTTAATTTGACTCATTTTCAAAGTTAAATTAGATTAGATCAACTCAATATTTTGTATTTGAAATTTAGATATTCAAAAACTATATGATAAATACTACAAGTTGCATTTTTTCTCATGTTGATATAAAGAGAACATATAGGGTGTGTTTGGTATGAAGGAAAATGTTTTCCTGGAAAACAAGTTGAATTTTGACTTATTTTCTCATGTTTGGTTGGTGAGTAGAAAATATTTTCCGGAAAATATTTTTAGTGTTTGATTTATGAATGAAAAATATTTTTGAGAAATATCTTTTATTTTTACTAGAGTAGAAAATAATTTTTGAAATTGAATATAATTTTTAAAAACAAACTTAAATTTTTTTGGGGGATGGGGGGTGGTAGGGGGTGGGTGAAGGGGGGGGGGGTCAAGGGTAGGATGAAAAAATGAAATTTTGAAGTTGAGAATACTTTTTAAAAACAAACTTAATTTTTTTTTTGGGGGGGGGGGGGGAGGTTAGGGGTGGGTGGGTGGGGGGCTGGGTAGGAGGTGGGTGGGGGGTCGAGGCTAGGGTGAAAAAATGAAATTTTGAATTTGTAAATATTTTTTTTAAAAAAACTCAATTTCTTTTTGGGGGTGGGGGAGTGACCGGAGAGGGGGGTGGGTGATCGAGGATTGGGATGAAAAAATAAAAATTTGAAGTTGAAATTATTGGGTGGCTAATCGAGGATCGGGATGAAAAAATAAAAATTTGAAGTTGAAAATATTTTTTAAAAACAAACTTAAATTTTTTTCTTTTTGAAGGAGCTGATAGGGGGATTGATGGGGGCGGGGGGCGAGGGTAGTGGATGGGGGGTAAAAAAAATAAAAAATTGAAATTAGAAATATCTTTTAAAAATAATTTTTAATATTTTTTTGGGAGGGAGTGGGGGTAGGGGTGAGGGTGGGGTAAACAAATTGAATTTAAAAACATGCTTTAAAATTTTTATTTTTCTTTGGGGGGCGGAGGGGGAGGGGGGGGCGGTTGGTTGGGGGTGGTTTGAGGGTAGGGACAAAATAAATTGATTTTTTCAACAAAAAATAATTGTAATTTAAAGTTGGAAGAGAGTTTTGGAAAATGTTTTCCTTAAGTTTAGAAGGGAATTCATTTTCCTTAAATTTGAGGAAAATGAGTTGATTTGGAAAACATTTTCCAAAACATTTAGTCCAACCAAACATGAGGAAATTGGAAAACATTTTCTGGAAAATGTTTTCCTTCATACCAAACACACCCATAATTTAAAATGTTAATCAAACTTCGTAGTTTAACTCTTGATAAATGAAACATGACAACTAATATGCAGAGGGAATCTGTCCCTTCTATCATAACTTGGAATTGAGGCATAATTATTGTGTGTCTTTACTTATTTTTGAAATTTTTTTGACGAATTTATACCATCTGACAGAGTGTCTCTGTCTAATGGCCATTTATAAATAATAAAATGATTTTTTAATTTTCTTCAATTGTTAATTGTGGGGGCTTGAAATTGGTACTTATTTTACAATTTATAGAAGTTGAAGAAGAAAATTATTGTGTGTCTTTACTTATTTTTGAAATTTTTTTGACGAATTTATACCATCTGACAGAGTGTCTCTGTCTAATGGCCTTTTATAAATAATAAAATGATTTTTTAATTTTCTTCAATTGTTAATTGTGGGGGCTTGAAATTGGTACTTATTTTACAATTTATAGAAGTTGAAGAAGAAAATTTGATGATAATGGTTGATTGCAGTTCTGGTACAACTCAAGGAAAACCAAAATTTGTACCTTTCAATGAAGGATTGATGGAATCCACCATGCAAATATTCAAGACTTCTTTTGCCTTTAGGAACAGGTAATGTAATATCTTATTTACCTTGTTATGCTTTACACTGTTATTTTTCAAAAATGTACTCCATCGATCTCAATTTATGTGACACTTTTTGTTTTTCGAGAATCAAACAATTTAAGTTTGACGGAAAAATTGCATATGGAATCTTCAATTTTTTTTGAAATAAATTTACATATTTATAAACTACTTAAAAAAGTATTATATGTCACAATAATTGACAATTTAAAATATTTAAAAAATATATAAAAAATTATGGTAAAAGAGGACTTTGTTTGAATCTCGAAATTCGAAAGATGCCATATAAATTAGAACAAAGAGAGTACTACTTTTCAAGATATCAAGCATGCACCTGTCTGCATTTTGAAGAGTTTGAGCAATATAGCTCTCTCTAATATTGGAAAAATGGGGGGTTATTGATTTTGTTTTTACATCTTTTTGTTTTTCTCTTAAAGTCCTTACATATCATTTGGTCATTGCCATCTTTTTCAACTCTCCAGCTTTTTTTAGCTAATGGCTTTTGTTTTATTCGTGGAAAAAGTTAGTCCAATTGAAAAACACAGCATGAGTTGTTTAGTTTTTCTCTTGGTACCAATAAATAGAAAAACAAAGTTTCTTTTCTTTAACGACTGTTTGTTAATTTTTCTCTTGGTACCAATAAGTTGAACCTTCTAGTACAAGTGTTCGAGTTTCACATGGTGACAATGTGGGGATACATCCCAACGTTCTTATCTATGTTGTTCAAACTCTTTAGAAATATTTCAAAAAATGCATTGTTTTTTGATGATCCAACACTAAGCTATTGATATTTTTAAATAGTCCGAGCAACATAACATTTCAACTCAAAAAAAAAAGAGGAACTTTCGAATCTTTAATATTTTAAGATCCATATAGGCTAAAATAACTAAAAGTTGATTCTTTAACCCCCTCTTGCACTCATGTTACGTCGAGGTACTTGTGGAAAGTGGCATAGCTACATTCATGTATCCTTCATCGGAAAATTATACCGTATATATAAGTAAAATGATATACAAAGTAGTTAAATAACATATTCTGGACACCCTTGACAAAACATGATATAGCCCAGTGGTTTCAGTCGCCTTGAAAGAGCAAAGACACGCAAACTTAAAGTGTTCGTGCGCTTCAATGTCATTAGTAGCAGCTCTTTTTCACTTTTTAAGATGGGCAGATTGACTTTAGCACACCAGGATACCCTTCCCTTTTTAAGAAGAGCAGATTCACTTTAGCACCTCAACATCTTTCATGAAATTTCTGACTCCACCACTGTTGGTGGATAAAAAGTAGTATAACCCAATCCAATCACGATTAGTTAATATGTTGGTTAACTATACTATGAAACAGGGGAAAAATTGTTCACTTATCAAATTATTGATGTGGAGATGGATGTATGTTAATTTGCAGAGAATTCCCAGTCGTAAATGGGAAAGCATTACAGTTCATTTATGGAAGCAAACAGTTCAAGACGAAGGGAGGTTTAGCAGCTGGAACAGCCACAACAAATGTATACCGAAATTCGCAATTCAAGAAGACAATGAAAGCAATGCAGACCCCGTGTTGTAGCCCCGATGAAGTGATATTCGGCCCTGATTTCAATCAATCCTTGTACTGTCATCTATTGTGTGGTCTCATTCTACGTAACGAAGTTCAAGTTGTCTCATCTACATTTGCTCATAGTATTGTCCATGCTTTTAGAAAATTCGAACAAGTATGGCAAGAACTTGTTGCAAATATAAGGGACGGAGTTCTTTCTAGTCGCGTAACTGTTCCTTCTATAAGATCAGCAATGTCAAAATTACTCAAGCCTGATCCAGAACTGGCTGATACTATTTATAACAAGTGCATTCGGTTAAGTAATTGGTACGGGTTGATACCTGAATTATTCCCCAACACCAGGTACATATATGGTATCATGACCGGATCAATGGAACCGTACTTGAAGAAATTGAGGCATTATGCAGGGCAGCTACCTCTGCTTAGTGCAGATTACGGGTCTTCTGAAGGATGGATCGGAGCAAATGTTAATCCTGAATTGCCTCCCGAGCTAGTTACTTATGCTGTTCTTCCTAATATTGGTTATTTCGAATTCATTCCTCTCGTGGAAAATGTAGATGGCGTGGAGGCTACACCAGTTGGTTTAACTGAAGTTAAACTCGGTGAAGAGTATGAAATTGTTGTCACCAATTTCGCTGGTATGATTTTGTTCTTCCCTTCCTTGGAAATGTTTTTCATAGTATTGCTCCTGTAGTTTCTTTGTCCTTTGATTTTTATTGCTTTCTGTTGTTTCTTATACTTCGATTGTCATATATTTTGTTGAAGTTACTGTTTAGTATGCGTTGTTATGCTTTTACTTCCGTTACTCCTTTTTGGACTGTTTTTTTCTTGAGCCGAGGGTCTATTGCAAGTAACATCTCTACCTCTGAGATAGGGGTAATTAAGCTCTGCGTACACTACCATCTTTAGACCCCATTTGGGACTACACTGGTTATGTTGTTATTCGTTTTGATTTGATTGAATATACACATGTAAAATGCAGGTTTATATCGATACAGGCTCGGTGATGTGGTAAAGATAAAAGGATTCCACAATGGAACTCCAGAGCTCCAGTTTATTTGCCGTAGGAATCTCTTACTGAGCATCAACATCGACAAAAACACAGAGAAAGATTTACAACTAGCCGTGGAGGCAGCAGCACAGCTCTTATTAAACGAGAAGTTAGAAGTAGTCGATTTCTCTAGCAACGTAAACACCTCAGCCGATCCAGGGCACTACGTAATCTTCTGGGAACTGAATGGTGAAGCAAGTAAGGAAATTTTGAAAGAATGTTGTAATTGTTTAGACAAATCTTTCGTCGATGCAGGCTATGTTAGCTCTCGGAAGGTCAAAACCATCGGTCCCCTTGAGCTACGGATTGTGAAGAGAGGGACGTTTCATAAGATTTTAGATCATTTTGTAGGGTTAGGAGCAGCAGTTAGCCAGTTCAAAACACCGAGATGTGTCGGTACGACGAATCTCTCTGTGCTGCAAATATTGACTAGTAATGTTGTTGAGAGCTATTTTAGTACTGCATTTAGTTGAATTATAAGTATGTTTGTTCCCAGAATTGTAAGCTGGTTACTTTTCATATCTTAATAAAACACTTTGAATTTGTACAAATTTTGTAGGACTAGTTTAACAACTCCTTTCCCTCCAAAATGATACAAACAATAGGATGCTCTCTGCAATCTACGAAAAAAACATCAGAGTCGAATCTAAAATTTGAAATTTATGATTTTTTTCAGGTGAACAGATTCTAATTTAATAATTGGTACATATTAAATGTTTTTGAAGATAGTTGATACAAATTATAACCAAAATTACTAAATTCGACTTGAACTCGCAGCCTACACCCTAGCTCCGCCCCTGATTAATGTTAATTCAGACACTGAGTTCGTATTTATTTTTTGAGATAAAATTTGCACACTAGAAACTATATTACTACAACTTTTTGCGGTAAATAACATTTTGAAGCATTTGAAAATTATGGTATAGAACAAAAAATTGTTTAATTCAGAAAATAATGTAGAATTATTTCTTTTTATGCAGATAAAATGTCTATCAAGTGGAATATTATATATAGTTAAATATCATCTCCAAGTTCTTTAATAATAATTTTTTGAGATAATTTTAGAGACTTCCTCGAGTTTCGCTCCATAACACTCACTTCCCTTATGGTATCGATATTACACCTACCTACCTTATTATAATTTTTGTGAAATCATTCTTTAAACTTATTTAAAATAAATATAAATATATTACGATTTGACAAATTTGTCCCTCTTTATATTAATTTCTTCGTATTAATCCATATTATTAAAAAATATGACTTATTTAATAAATACATTAAGAATAAAATACTATGAAGAAATGTGTGTGTATATATATAAACGACTTATTTTTGTTGATTAATTATTTTTAAAGTATTTATTAAATAAGTCATGTTTTTAATAATATGGATTAATATAAAAAAATCAATATAAAGAATGACAAATTTGTCAAGTCATAATTGATTTATATTTATTTTAAATAAATTTAAAAAATGGTTAAAAAAACTAAACTAAGGAAGATAGACGTAATATCGTAAACCATAGGGAATGTGAGTATTATAGAGCGAAACCTGAAGGGAGGTCTCTTAAAAAAATTAAACTAAGGAAGATAGACGTAATATCGTAAACCATAGAGAATGTGAGTATTATAGAGCGAAACCTGAAAGGAGGTCTCTGAAATTATTCTTAATTTGTTTAATTATAAATTTTCTTGTATATTGGCATAAGAATGCACTCTTCTTTCCACATTATCAAGCCTTTATTTCAATGTTATAAGTTACAATTAATTTTAATTCTTCGGTAAAAAATGTCTTTAATCACTAGAAAAATATTACTACTATATGTTACAATTAATATTTAGGAGTGCAATAAATCTTATTTTTAATTTTTAACTTTTTAGTTAAAGATAGTAGAACTTTATTTAATATTTTAGAATTTTAAATTAAACTACTTAGAATTTATTATCTATCAATAATATTTTTAAGAACAAGAACCAATGTATTCCATTACAATAGATGGATAACATTTTATTAACTTAGAAGAACTTTTCTCAAAATATATAATAAGATACTGCCTCTTTACATATATAACTATTTATTTTGGCTCTTTGCATATAGAATAGAACTTATAAATTGACTCTTTGCATAAGAGTGATTAGATTTATAATAAAAATAAAGTTTTGAGGAGACAAAAATTATGACTGCTATCTCCACTATCATGAAAAAAATATTACTAAGCACTATCTTGATACATTTGGGATAAATGAGGAACAAAAATAAATGCTAGGGAATTATTATGAGAAAGAAAAAACTCATTTAAGTGTATCAAGATAGTCTATTTCTATTTCATCTTACTCATATTTCACAATATATATTTTTTTTCCTATGATAGTGGGGATAATAATCATAATCCTTCTCTCCTCATACTCATAGTACTTATTTCAATTTTGTCTCCATTGTTTTTCTAAATCAAGTTGATATATAAGTCACTCAATTTAGAAAATGACATTTTTTTCTTTAATTTTAATTTTTTACTGTAATAAATGATTTTCTGAAAAAATAACTAGTTGAGAAACCATTTGAAATTTTTTCTATATTATTCATTTAAAAATTTCAATCCCACTATTTTCTCGTATATATGATTGAAAATTTTGAAAAACATATAAATTAAATGTAAAAGATGCTTTATAAACAAACCATCTCATAATACATGCAATACTATCCTATAGTTCCACTCATACCAATCAAGTTATATTCATTTATCATCAAGTAAAATTTATTATTATTTTCTCAATAAATTAATAATTCTAATTGGCTTTTGGGGTTTAACACTTTTGGCTAAGCTCACTTTTGTACTTAGCCCTCTTTAATCTAGTAGATATGCTTGTTGATAATTATAACCTTTTTTTAGAAAAAGCTTGATCTTATTAAAGAGAAGAGATTTAATAAGTTGTACAAGAAAAGTTATTTTGGCAAATAAGTTATATGTGCCCACATGGACACATTACTATTTAAAATACACTATTAAATAGTACAATATTAATGGAATAAAAGGTCATTTTCAAAGTTTGGTATAGTAACAGTAATTTCGGTCAAAGTTAGAGTATTTTTCAGAACTTCTTCCCTTAAATTTAGGGAAAATGACCTAATATACCTCTTAATTTTGCGATTTGGAGCTGATATATCCTTCGTCGTAAAAATGGTTCATATATAGCTTTACTATTACACAAATGACAAAAATATACCATTTTGATTTAATGAGAGTGAAAAAAAATAATTTTAATTTATTCTTTTAAGAAAATATTTTCTGATTTATTATTTTGATCATTAATTTTTTTTCTCACTCATTTCTTATAAAATTTATCTTACATGCCCCATTTAATTTTTTTCAAATACAAAAAATAAATTATAATATAGCCGCAAACAAATCAGTTTAAATCTTTATCCCTTACTCTTTTCTCTTTTTTCATTTATACTTTATAATTTTATTGCTCATATTTTACACAAAAAATTAAATAAGAAAAAAATTAAGCAAGAATAAGAAACTCAAATAATGATAAGCAAATAGATTTATAAAGGAGATATTTAAAATTCAAATTAGTCTTTAAACAAAGAAGTCAAAAAAAAAAAAAAAAAAAACATGTGTGAGAAAGATAAATATTTTTATGATAGTTGAGGCATGCCATGTCATAGTTGTGTGAGGGAGCCCGAACATTGTTCACGGGTCTAGAATTCTCATCCTATTTAATTTGTTGTAACGATGAGGAAAATTGAGTTTGACATTTTCCCCATAGAATTTATAAGTCTCGCTGTGTGGGTGTCAAATGAGCGGGTTGGGTTAAAATTAGAAATATTAAATAATTGTATAAAATAACAAACTATTAATTCAAATTAAATGTTATAACTACAGTTTCATTTAATTCTAATCCGTAACAACCACTTTGCCATTCGCCTCTCTCCCCAGAAATCTCGCTCACGACTTTCCCTCGCCTCTCTCACTTTATACAAAAACAAATATAGAAATTGTGTTTGTGTTTGTATAAAATGAGAAAAAACTGTATATACAAATACAAATACATATTTCTTCGTCCTATACATTTATAATTATACAATACAAATCTTCCCTTGCCCAGTTCTCTTTTGCCTTTCTCTTTCTCGCTTTATACAAATACAAATGATACAAAATACAATGTATAATTTGTGTTTGTATAAAACGGGAGAGAGATTTGTATACAAATTTATCTGTATACAAAAATACAATTACATATACATATACATATACAAATTTATATTTGAATACATTTAAGGGAAAAGACATAAATTCCCCCGTGAACTTGTCCCGAAAAGTCAGTTACATGCTTAAATTATCATAGTGACCTATTACACACCTATACTATTCAAAAGTGAATTTTCTTACCCCCTAAAACTGACGTGGCAAAAAATAAAATAAAATAAAAATAGGCGCGTTAGTTTGAAATTAAAGTAAAAAAAAAAATTAGAATCCTCTTTTCCACCCCCACCGCCCCATGCCTCTTCTTCTTCAAACCCCACCCATTGTCCTCTTCTTCTTCATTCTTTATTTTCATCACACTTCTTTATTTTTTATCACAATCTTAAAGCACAATTATTTTTATTTGCAATTAGGTTAATTCCTCATAGATTTGTTAGTGAATAATTATATTTTATCTAGAAACATTTCGATTGATTGTTTCTATCTTTTTCACTTTGTTAAAGAATTCTTGGTTGTTAATCAATTTTTGGGGTAATAGCAACTTTATGGGTTTGGTGGTGATGGGTGGTGGGTGACAAACATTAAAAGAGGTAATTGAATGTGGTGAAGAAGAAAAAATCGATATTGATAATGATGGTGGTGATATTTGGTGTTGGGTGACAAAGAAGAAGAATAATTGAAGGTGATATAGTGGTGGTGAAGAACAAAATCAATAGTGAAGGTGGGGCCGGATATGGTTTTCCGATGAAATGAGAATTGAAAATGGGTGGGATTAGTGATGAAGAAGATATAATTATTAGAGAATTAAAACAATTAATTAGGAATTAGTTAGAGTAAAATATAATTAACAAAAGAAAAGTTTATTAATAAAGAAAAGAAAACAAAAAATTATAATTTATGACATGACGCTGACGTAGCGTTAATGTGAGAGTGGTGTTACACGTCTCAGGGTGATAATAAATTCACTTTTGAGTAGTTAAAATGTGTAATAGGTCACCATGATAGTTTAAACGTGTAACTGACTTTTTGTAACAAGTTTAGGGGGGGAATCTATGTCTTTTCCCTATATTTAATACACATATGACTGAAAATCACAACAAAAAATATATACTTATACAACTTACAACCATGGCAACTTCTTATTTGTATACAAATTCCAAATATATACTTATGCAATTGATTCTTATACAATTAATAGTCATAGCAAACATAAATTTTGCTATGAAGCGCAATTATACAAATTATAGTTATAACATACACATGATTTTTATATTTGCTAAATCTAAAATTTACTCAAATAGAAATCGGATTGGGTCATGACCCGCCCAATTTGACGCACTT